GTAATTTTAAAAAGTTTTTTTTATCTAAAAATTAATAATAAAACATTTTTAAATCTTAGGAAATACCTAAATTCTCAAAATATTTTTTCAATTTAGCTGCGAACAAATTCAAACTTTGACATCGATTTTCTCAGTTTGCAAAAACATGGAGATAGCACAAGATAATTCTAACGTCGCGACATATCGTTAAAATTGGTTTTGTTAATTATGAGATCTTTTAGTTTTTTCTTAAGGGTAATAAGATTATCCAGTTTAGTAAGTTCTATATTTTGAGGTATTATTTTGTTGTATAAATAAGGGCCACGGTATACAATTGAAAATCTCGAAAAATTTGTTTTTTTTTTATGGGCAACGTAAAGTTTCCGTTTCCTCGTGTGATATATCTGTTGGCGTTGGTTTGAAAAAAGTTATTAGTAAAATGAGTTGGGACAAGTCCGAGCTTATATTTGAGCATAAATAAAATATTTTGGTAGATGTTAATTTGATAGATATTTAAAGCATTCAAGTTTTTAAGTAAAGGATCGTCATGAGTGAATTTATTTTTATTATAAATTAATCTTGATGCGTGTTTTTGGTGTATATATAGAAAACTTAATTTAGATTTATTTGTACTTCCCCAGGCAATATTAGCATAGGTTAGGTAACTTTGTATATAAGAAAAATAGAGGATTTTTAGATTCTCCTGGGAAAGTATAGGTTTGACTTAGTAAAGTATACCGATACTTTTTGATATTTTTGTATTTAGTGTTTTTATACGGGCTTTCCAAGAAATCGTTTCGTCGATAATTATCCCAAGAAATTTAATAGTTTCAGTTCTTTCAATGTTTATGTTATCAATTTTTAATAATGGTAGAATGCTTGGTATTTTATTTTTTTGCTGATTGGAATGAAACAAGATGTATTTTTCTGTATTTATTGATAATTTATTTACTTTAAACCAAATGTTTAGACTCTCAAGGTCATCGTTTGCAGATTCAAAGAGATTTTCAATTGATGGTGATGAATAAAATAAATTTGTATCATCAGCAAACATTATTGTATCGAGTTTTTTTTAGTGATTGTGGAAGATCGTTAATATAGATTAAAAATAAAAGAGGACCAAGAATGGAACCTTGGGGAACTCCGCATTTTATTTTTAGAAAATTAGAATATTTATTATCGTTTGAAATAACACATTAATGTCTATTGCACAGATAACTTTTAAACCAATCTAAGCTAGTATTCTTTATTCCGTATATTTCCAATTTTTTTAGTAAGATATCATGAATAATTTTTTAAATTGCTTTAAAAAGGTCTATAAAAGTTCCTAAATACAAATTGGTTTTTATTAAAAGAATCACTTATGCTATTAACTAAATCTAAAATTGCATGTTCTGTTTTTTGTTGCATGTTCAATTTTACATTACTACTATTATCATTATTCAATATATATTCAACCTACAAACAATTCATTTGAAAATTACATCGAGGACTCTCGTTGCTCCCTAGTTTTTAAAGAACTAGAATACGAAGAACTTGAAACAGCAATTAAAACATTAAAAATTAACAAAGGTCCAGGTATCGACAATATCCCAGCCAATATTATTTTGAATGTCTTCCCAGAAATAAGTAAACCCATTTTTCAAATATTTAACTCTTCAATAATTACAGGAATTGTACCCGACTATTTAAAAATAGCTAAAATTATTCCTATCTATAAATCCGGAGATACATCTTTCTTAAATAATTACAGACCAATATCAATCCTTCCCGTATTTTCAAAACTGCTCGAACGAATAATCTACAATCGTTTATATAAATACCTAACCACAAACAAAATCCTGAATGAAAACCAATATGGTTTTCAAACTCAGCACTCGACAGAGCATGCTATCGTAGACCTCGTCAATAGAATTAGTGAATCAATCTATGAAAAGAAGTTCGTATTAGGAGGCTTTGTAGACTTGTCAAAAGCGTTCGACACAATAAATCATGAAATCCTACTAAAAAAGTTGGAAAAATACGGATTAAAAAACCATACACTGCAGTGGTTTAAAAGTTACCTGTATAACAGACAACAGTGTGTTATTACAGATGATAATTACCACAGTAAATTATTAAAATTAACTTGTGGTGTTCCTCAAGGTTCGATTCTTGCTCCTCTTTTGTTCCTAATCTATATAAACGACCTTCCAAAAGTTTCTAGCAAACTTGAATTTATAATGTTTGCAGACGATACAAATTTATTTTACTCTTCGACAAACATCAAGGATCTGTATGATAATGTAAACATAGAACTCCAAAAATTAAATATATGGTTTAAAACAAATAAGTTATCGCTAAACATAGAAAAAACAAAATACACTTTATTTCACTCAAACCAACAAAGAAACACACTACCAAATATTCTACCCTCTCTAAAAATACAAAATATAGTAATTGAGAGAACTCACGAAACTAAATTTTTAGGAGTTATAATTGATGAAAATTTATCTTGGAAAAGTCACAAATGCTTTAAACACTAAAATATCAAAAAACATATGTCTACTTTATAAAGCAAAACCTATGCTGTCGCAAAGTAATTTAAAACTTATATATTTCTCTTTTATACACAGCTACCTCATATATGCGAATATAGCTTGGGCGAGTACGCATATAATCAAATTGAAAACTTTATATCGACGTCAGAAACATGCTGTTAGACTAATCTACCATAAAGACAAATTTACACACACTGAACCCTTATTTAAAGAAATGAATGTGCTTAATATTTATCAAATTAATATTTACCAAAATATATTGTTTATGCTAAAATTTAAATTAGGTCAAGTACCAAACCATTTTTTAAATAACTTTTTTATAAATAACGTTAATAAATATAACACAAGAGAAAAAGGAAACTTTATTACACCTTTCAAAAAAACAAAACTTTCCCAGTTCTCAATTTCATATCGGGGTCCTTATTTATACAACAAACTAGTAACTAAAAATAAATCAATCTGCAATCTAGATTCAATTTGCAATCAAAATTTCTTGAAAAAAAGTTAAAAAATCTTATACTGAATCTAAACAGATACTCAGAATTCTTCTAAGACTATAAATTAAAATACATATATATCAACTACAAAGTGAACTGACTCGTTTATGTGTATTATCTAAATGAATCTTTTTTTTTCTTCTCAAATTTCTCAAACAATATATCAAAATGTGTTTATTACACACAAAAAAAACACTTGATTTTTTCTTATCAAGTTTAGTTATTATGCTGCTAGTTATGTCTAATATTTTATACTGAGCTTATTTTGAGTTTATTTTTTATTATGAGCTAAATTTAAAGAATATAAACTTAGTTGTACTTAATATATAATTATATTTAACATAATCATAATAATATATCAAACACATTGTAAGGGCTTCGTGATAAGATCATTACGATCTTCTTGAAGTCCGGCCTGTACTATTTAATTATAAATTTCACTATATATATTTTGACTCACGAGACTTGTAAATATTAATTTACGAAACTTGTAAATGTTATATGTACGGCAAATATATGAATAAAAAAATCATCAGCTGCGCAATTAGGATTTCTGAAAAAGGGTTTCCAATTATATGAATCTTTGGTTTTTACTTTGTGAAACCCAAAACTTTTAAACATGTTTACAATGTCACATATTGACAAATTTAATAAAGTTTAAGAAAATTTAATAAAAATTGCGCTACTGATAATCTCATAAATTCGGTCGCAGTATACATGTTTAATTCAATTCAATTTTTTTTTTTTAATTAACAACTTTGATAATAAAAGTCTATGAAAAAGCAAAAATTGTTTTTAGGAAATTTATTTAGATGATTCTTAAATATAATTATGTTAAATCTTTCAGAGTTCGCTTAAAGTTATAATAAAATGCGCGGTTTTGAATTTTTAGTAGCAAACGAAGTACTTTAGCGATGCGCAATTATATATTTGTTTTAGGTTCGCTTAAACTTTTCACAAGCAAAGTTTCACGACTCGTGCTAGTAATTAGCACGAGTAAAAATAAAAACAACATTTAGATAATATTTTAAGAAAAATGTAATTAATATTGAAAAATCAAAAAAAAAAAAATTGATTTTTAAGTATTAAGAAGTCTTTTTTTTTTCTTTTTTAACAAAAAAACGATTTTTGAAATTTCAACGATGGCGTTGAAATCCCATTTCAACGATGGCGTTTGATGTTACTGAACTGCCAAATCTTCTCAGTATTGACAAAATAAAACACTCGAGAAGTTTACTTTTGAAGTAGTAATGATATTTCAGATATTACTACAGTATAACTTTTGATGTCTACTAATGATAGTTTAATGTTATTTTACTCATTTATTTACATAGCATTTCAGTAGTTTTGAAGAATTAACAGTTTTTTTTAGGTCTTGACAAACATTAGAAATTAAAACTACGAGCATTTTTACGTCATGATGAGAAAAGTTTTTAAATACTGGAAACCCATTCTTTGACATTATTTATATTTGACGTGTTATTTTGATTTCTTTTTTAAAAAAAAAATACTATTTCTTCACTTTTATCATTTGCTATTTATTTAAAAAAAAAGACTTTATTTCTTAACTTTAATCATTTGATTGACTTACTTCTGTCAACAATATGAAATTATTAAAAAGTTTCAAAATAAACAAAATTATATGCAAATTAAAAAAATATTAACATATTAATTGAACAAGTTTTGGTTGCTCGGTTACAAATGTTAAAGAATCTAGATATTAAATAGATTGCTTTTATATACAATTTAGCAATAGCTTACATTTCTTTCTTTTTTTATTTGAAGTTTTTAACTTAAATTAGCTTGCTATTATACTAACAATATATATTATAACAAGTTACTTTAGTTACGGCCGGGCCCTTACGTCAGTACTATTTCCAGCCTTTTTAGCAAAAAATTTTTTTCTATAAAAGCTTATTATTTTAGATTTTTCATTTCATAACTTAATTTTAGCTGAAACTTCAAATCACATATAAATAAAATATTTACAGTAATATATTTGAATCTATAAATATAAAGAATATTCATTTAGGTTTAAAAAAATCTTTCACCAAACGCGGCATTTCTTCTTTGGATTCATTATTGAGCCTTCGGGACATTTGTAGGCTTTACTAAACTCTTGGTTATTTTGAAGCGTTCCAATAACTCTTAAAAAAATCACCATAAAAAAAATTAAAAAAATCAAGTCAAAATCAAGTTAGACAAGCTAAACTTTCTCGTCTAACTATTAGACGAGAAAGCTATAAAAAGTTATATAAAGCTAAAAAAATTAAAAAATCACGTCTAACTTTCTCGTCTAATTATTTGACGATGAGATCTCGTCTAACTTATTTGACGACGAGATCTCGTCTAACTTATTCGACGATGAGATCACGTCTAATTATTAGACGATGAGATCACGTCTAATTTTTAGACGAGAAAGCTATAAGAAGCTATATATAAAAACTGAAAAAAATTAAAAAATCAGGTCTAGCTTTCTCATCTAATTATTAGACGAGAAAGCTTTGTTTTTTTCCTAATATATTTTCTTAACCGGAAAAAGTATGGGATCGTCCATAAAGTACGTACGCCAAAAATTTTGAAATTTGACCCCCTTCTCCTGTTGCCATGCATATTTATAAGTTACCCCAACCCCTTAAAAATTACGTACGTTTTTGAAATACTCCCCCCCCCCAACCTTTTATTTTTCAATAAAAAAGTTTATTGAAAATAAAAAAGTGGAGGGGGTACCTTAGATACTTTATACGACCCCAAAGGTCTTTGCTTGCGGTACAGGATCCCAATTTAAAGGACGTGTCTTCAAATAAATATATACAAGTATTTATTTTAACAAAGTTAAATCACATATCAACAACATGTTTGCACTTTGATTTTCTAATTTAGGCTATAAATTCCTCTATGCACAGATGGTATAGTTTCCCTAGGTGCACACACAAGCCACCCCTTATATACTGGCCCTGAGTAAGCCATCAACCAAAACTGACTCTGGTTTTACTCGTCATTCAACAAAGTCCATTTACTGTATTTATCGCTTCATGATCTAAGAACTTTTATTTGCTTTTTGTCGAGGTTTAGAAAAATCAGATCCTTATATTTCCGTATTATTTTGAAAAGTCGTTTGAAGTCTGTATGTAAATCAGTACAACCAGGCGAGGTGTTACAACGTTTACTGATTGAAAATTCCACAAGAAGTAAGGATGTTATTGAAGAGGTTTTACCTGAACTAATTGATATTTATTGACAATTAGATTGCGTTGATATAGAACTCTCTTCATATTTTCATAACTCATACAACTTTTCAAGTTTTCTTCTGTCAACCTTACTCTTTAACAATATTCTTTGTTTTCTAGTAACTTCCAATTTAATAGTGGTTGTTTGCAACTTTATTAGGAGAGAGTTAATAAATATATGTATATAATTTATTTATTTCTATCTAAATAAGATATGTTACTATCTAAATAATTTACATTAATATGCTTTTGTTTTATAACAACACTGTTAAAATTTTACCTGAATCTGGATAAGGAATGCACACCGCTCTCTATTTGATTTATTGCAGATGATTCCCTGTAATTTGTACACCAAACCTAAAACCACCAAAATATTATTTTATTGCTTAATAAAAGTATTTTTATAAAATACATTTTATAAAAATACTTTTATTAAACAATAAACTAAAACAATTAAAAAAAAAAATTATAAAATAGTAGAATTAATGATTTCCAAAAAACTTGTATAACAAAGTATAATTTTTAAAAATTATTTTCAAATTTTAAAAGTGATATAAACGACAATTATTTTTTATAAGATCATGAAATGTCAAGATTTTATGAATAATAATTGTTAAAATAAATTTTGTAAATAATAATTGTTAAAATAAAGCACATATGTTACTATTGTTAGATGCGAATAAGTAAATGTGGCAGTTAAATAACATTTACCTGCGCAAAAGCAAGAAAGTATAACTGTTCAGATGTTAAGTTAAGTCCAGGAAGTTTTTGTTCTTCATTATGTTGTTCTTTCCATAACTGATAAGCCTGTAAAAAATCACCAAAAAAAAAAAAATTAAAATTGTATAATCAGTATGTAACAACTATATAGAATACTGCAGTACAAATGTATTACTATATGTAATATGTTGTAGCATTTCTATTATTTAATATTTTTATTTTTATTCATATTTAACATACGTTTTTATTCAACATATTAAAAATTATTTTATAATCATTTAATAATTTTTTTAGAATTTGCAACAGTCTTCGGTTCTGTGTCACACAAAAGATGATAATTAAACCTTGAGAGTAAAAGATATACATATTTTATATGTAAATTTATCATATATATATATATATATATATATATATATATATATATATATATATATATATATATATATATATATATATATATATATATATATATATATATATATATATATATATATATATATATATATATATATATATACACATATATATATATCATATATATATATATATATTTATATATATATATATATGTATGTATATATATATATATATATATATATATATATATATATATATATATATATATATATATATATATATATATATATATATATATATATATATATAAAATAAAAAATTGATGTATATATCTATATAGTAATATTTCTATACTGTAACGAAAAGTAATGGTGTAGAAAGTCCAATAAAAAAAAATCATATTTCTAAGCAAAAACTTTATGAATTATTTGCGTTATATAATTTAAGGTTATTTAAGGTTCAAAATTTCAATGTTATTCAATTCAATTTAAAGTTATTTAAGGTTTATGTTATTCAATTCAATTTCAAGTTATTTAAGCTTCAAAATTTCAATGAAGAACCAGTAATATCCAGAAAAATATTTCTCATTAGATAAAATTTCTTAATTATTTGTTCCATATTCCCCATTTGGAATATGGAGCAACAACTTGGAGTCCATTTTGGAAGAAGAACATTATTAATCTAGAGCAACACAGTGCTACAAGAATCAAATCTTTAAGGGGGAAGTCATATGAAGAAAGATTAAAGATACTTAAATTGCCACCTTTGCATAATAGAAGAAAGGGTGACCTGATTTAAATGTTTTACATCTTTAAGGGGAAAGATATTGTTCATTTTTACCATCGTCCACTGTTACATTTTGAGCTCTAACGATCTACTAGAAGTAACAATTTTAGAATACGCAGACAATTTACCAATTTAAGAATTCATAACCATTTCTTCACAAACAGAGTTACAAATAATTGAAATTGTCTTCCTTAATGGATAATAGATAAAGAAAACATAAACCTTTTTAAAAATAGTATCAATAAATAATTTTATTTCTGAACTTTATGGTTATTGGCTGTTATAGTCTTAATTCACTTTTTTTTAAACATCTTCGCTTCCAACAAGGCTGCAAGCAACCACTAATTAGTGTTGGAAATTACTGGAAGAGAAAAGATAAGATTGTAGAGCAAGATAACGATTGACAGACAACTTAAAAGATTGCAAATTATATGAATCAGGAAACCAAGATAAAGGAAACGAATTCCAAAGAACTGATGTTCGAGGAAAAAAACTAGACAAATAAGAGTTTTTGGAGCACTTAGGAACAGTAACAGAAAAAGGATGAGACTTAATTGAATGACAAGTAACACGAGAATGAATTTTAGTAGATGGTACAAGAGACGCTAGCTCTTTAAAGGAGTGACGATGTGAAAGAGGTTGAAGGTTGGCTGCAAGAGCAGGTCCAACTATGTTTACAATGCGTTTTTGCACCTTGTCTAAAAGAGAAAGGCATCATTAGAAGATCCGCCCCAGATATGGCAACAGTATTTCATACAAGGCTGGCTTTGAGATTTATAGAGATAGAGAATAGAATCTAGAGTAAGAAAGTGTCGAGCTCGATAAAGAGAAGCAACTTTAGCAGATGCTAATTTTGCAACGGATTTGATATAAGGTTTCCAAGAAAGATCAGAAGTAAGAGTTAATCCTAGAAGATGAAGGGTAGGAGACTCATCGAGTACATTACCGTTCATAAATATAGGAAGGTCTAAATTATTGTGATAACGATTGGGTGAAAAAATTTTTAGTTTTATCTGAACTAAAGTTCACCAGCCACTGTAAGTCCCATGCTGTAGCAGAAGTGAGATCCTTTTCAAGCTCAGATGGCCCCTGCAAGCAATCAGAGGGAGTTGGCTTCTTATTGTGACAAGAATAAATGGTAATATCATCAGCAAACAATGCCACCTTAGATGTGAGAATATCTGGAAGATCGTTAATGTAAATTAAAAAGAGTATAAGGCCAAGGATTGAACCTTGAGGAACCCCTGAGGTTACAGAATAAGAAGAAGAGTGCTGTCCATCAAGGACAACTTTTATACTATGATTGGATAAGAAGGATTCAATAATCTTAAATATGTTTCCAGATACACCGTAAGAAGAAAGCTTATGGAGAAGACCAGCATACCAAACTCTATTAAACGCTTTAGAAATGTCAAGAGCGATGGCCTTAACCTCTCCACCTTTATCTAATGTGTGATAAAACCTATCGGTTATTCTAACAGCAAATCAGCCGTAGAACGAGAAGATCGAAATCCATATTGATGATCAGAAGTAGGTTATGAGATTCGAGATGAGAGATTAAGTGTTTGTTAATTAAAGATTCAAAAACCTTGCTTATGATAGGAAGAAGACTAATGGGACGGTAGTTAGATGAATCTGATCGCTCTCCAGAATTTTTAAAAATAAGGATAACAGATGCTGCTTTCCAGCAGGCTGAAAAACAAGACTCTGATAAGTATTTGTTGAATAGTTTTGAAAGGATAGACGACAGCTCCGGAGAACACTTCTGCAAGACTATAACAGGTATGTTGTCCAGGCCACAAGCTGTAGAAGAGTCTAAGCAGGAAATCACTTTAGATACAGAGGCTGGAGTGATACGGATGTCGAGCAATGGATCAACCTGTTTGACGGCTATATCAGGTAGAACGCAACTAGTGGAATCAAGAGATGATATTGATGAAAAGTTCTTGGCAAACAATTCAGCTTTGTCTTTAGGTGAGGTGACAAAGTCTGAACCATACAAAAGAGGTGGAATTACAGACTTGCCCTTATTATTGATACTATTAAAGATTTTCCAGAAGTCACAAGAGCCTAATTTTTGTAATGAAATACAAGATTTCATGATCTGAGAGTAGCAGGCTTTGGCGTTAGACAAAACCTTTTTACAATGGTTTCTAGCAGTAATAAACAGACGTCTGTTTTCAGGAGTTGTTTTGCTAATAGATATGGAAGTAATAGTTTCGATTGGCAATTGCAGCAGCACAATGTGAGGAAAACCATGGAGAAGAGTGAGACTTGACCTGGAACCGTCGAGAGGGAAAAAAGGATTCCATGCCAGCCTGAATCCACGAAATTATGTAAGAAGCACATTTGTCAACAGGAAGACGAAAGATTTCTACCCAGGGGCCATCACGAACAAAATCACGGAAAGAATCCCAGTCAGGTTTAAGGTAGTTGTAAGATGTACGATGATAGGGGGATTCTGATGGTAAAGAAGAATGAGATAATAGTTTTAGAGAGACCAAACCATGATCAGAAGCACCTAAGGGTGAGTGTGGAGAAACTGAGCACTGACTAGGATTAGAAACAAGACATAAGTCGAGTAGAGAAGGTAAATGATTTGGGTTGTCTGGAAAGCGAGTTGGAAAGTTGACTATTTGAGTTAGGGATTGCGTAAGGCAAAAGTTGTGGGCCTTTATGCCTGCAGAGTCACTGACACTAGAGCCAAGCCATTCAGTGTGATGAACATTAAAGTCTCTGACAACAACAATATTGGCTGATGGATAAAGAATGAGGGCTTGGTCAATATAATCGGAAATAACATCAAGAAGAGTGCAGTCTTGAGATGAAGGAGAGCAATATAGAACAAGGAGAAAGGTGATAGAGTAAAGTGGTGCTAAACGAAAGCACATAAAAGAGTAGTATGTGGATTCAAACCACGAATATTGGTGAATGATAGGTTTAGCGAACTTGGTGATGACTGTGATTTTTTGTGGTTTATAGTTTTTGTTACTTTATTCATTTTTAAATTTGTTAAAGAACTTGACTCAAAACATAGATAGCACTCAGTACACTGTTTTATAGCCCAAGCAATTGCCTCATTTCCACTAATAAACCATAAGCTGTAACAAAGGGCTCCAATGAGGCCTTGGCAATGCACACCAAAAGTACAAACAGGGACAACATCCATGCGCAACATGGCACTGTTAGTACTCTGTTATTTTTCAGCTGTTGATGGAATCAGCCTCTCTGAGAGCTACCACAGAGTTCGGGAAACCTGACTACTAGCCGGCCTCAGAACCATAAAACTGAGTTTTAGAGCTGTACCCTCATTTGGAGATAATAGAATGAGTTGCCTAGTCATAAAAACAGAGACACAAGCAAAACCCATGCATTGAGTCAAGAAGATCCAGCGTTCAACATCCTAAACTGGAAACAATGTATTAAAAATACATCTGCGCCAGCCTATTAGATGAAGAAGGGGTGCGAGGCTGGTCAACAGATAGAATCTGTTTACCCCTTAAATTTTTGCCTAGGAGGCCTTCTACAAGACAGCAGCCGAATGCATTTAACATCTGCCCAAGATGAGTATTTTTATCAAGACACCATCTCTAGCCTTTACTCAACCAAGAGCCCCAAGGCAGGGGATGTTTTATGTTGGAGTTTGCATCTCTTAGCCTTTGCCTAAAAAGACATATCCTACAAGGCAGCAGGACATGAAGCAGATTGTACTGGGTTACATGTTACCAGTAGCAGGATAAACCTGACCTGACCATCTTAACACCACACCTCAAGTGTGTACTAAATCACCACACCTCAAGTGTGTACATTTTCTAATTTTTCTATTCTACTTGTACTATAGAGCATTTTTTTACAGTCAAATATTAAATTTCATTTATTTGACTAATTGACAGTTTTCTGTCGTTCATCTTATAAAAAGCTTCAACAGATTTTTAGTCAGGACAGTAACAACAATGACAGTCAGTCAACCAATCAGGACAGTCAGTAACAACAATGAGCAACTCAACTAAAAATGTCTAATATAAAATATTTTCTCTCATGTCTTCTTCTTTTTTAAAAAGTTGTTTTCTATTTTACCATTTTACTTTCAAGGTTTATTAATAACCTTTTGTGTGTCAGATAACCAAAAGTCTTTGCAAAGTCTATGTAAATTACATTTATTTATGATCCTAAGACAAATAGTTAAACAAAGTTTAACTTTGTTTCTAGATACAAATATATTGTATTTTTTGAAAGTTTCTTACATACTTTTGTCTATTTTTGATTCTTTTCTGATAACTGATTAATTTCATATATAATGTTTTCACAACCTTGCAAATATTTTTGTATTTAATCATAAGATTAAATTGGTAAATATTATCATGAGAAAAAATGCTGCACTCTATTTGATAAACATTTTTAATTATTTTTGCTTTAACCATAGCAACAATTTTACTATCTACAATGTTCTCAGTATCATCTTACCCATATCTACATGACTGAATGGGTCTGTTAATCACCTTCATACAATCATTACATAGCAAAAACAATGACAAGATATTATAAAAGCAAAATTTATAATAAAAACAAACTTTTTTCTTAACTTCAAGACATTTAATAATCAATAATTAAATTTTTTTTTTTAATTAAAATTAAATTCAATTTAAATTATTTAAATATATTATTATATTAAATATATTAAAATATATGAAATTTTGAAAAATCTATACTATTCAAGGAACTTTTGTAATTTTAATTATAAATTAATAGGTATAATCAAAAAACAAGAGTTTAAATGAATAATAATATATGTAGATTCAAAATTTTTGTTGTTGCGGAAAGTAAATTTGAGATATAATTAACCTGAAGTGATTGCCTCAGTCCTCCATTGTCAGCTAAATCTTCTCCTAATGTCTGCTTACCATTCATCTATGATTTCAAAAAAATAAAATCTACATTACATTGTTTTATTATAAAAAAAAAACTTCAAAAAAAAACAAAAAAAAAACTAAATAAAAAACAAGTTACATGTCTATCAAACATTTCAAACTTTGAATACTGCTCCGAAAAACATTGACTTCTACTTTTAAAAGCATCAGTTGATTCCTTTGTCCACCATGTATCGAAATTTCCCTCAACAGTAAAATCTTTACCTAATAAAAAATTTTTTGACTGTAAAACATTGTATACTTATATATATATTTTTTTGCTATAAAAAGTAGCATTGAGAAGGTAACATTAAAACATTAACAAATTTTAAAAAAACTGTACCATAACCACATTATTTAATTCACTTAATACAAATGCATACATTAAAAAAAAAAAAACCTTGGTCATCAAACCCATGTGATATCTCATGACCAACAACCATACCAATAGCCCCATAAGAAACAGCACTGCACAAAAAAATATTAAAAAGTATAAATTTAATTTAAACTTTAGTGATGAAATAAAATCAATACAAATAAAACAACATATTTTTAAACTTAAAAAATTTTAATTTTGTAAATTCAAAAAATTAAGATGTAAAATCAAAATTATATTAACAGTAAGTTTTATAAAAAGGTAATTAATGGAACACACACATCATAATAAAACTCATCTGACCTTATTAAAATACAAAATGATGATAAATTGAAAATAGTACGATTATAATATCAATTAGAAAAACTTTTGAGTTTTTTTGAACTTTAAAGTTTGTATATCTCACCGTGGAGCTCTTTTATCATAATATGGCCATTGTAGAATTCCAGCAGGAAAACCAATCTTGTTTTCAGTAGGGGCATAATATGCATTAACTGTAGTTGGCAATATGCTCCATCTAAGACCATAAAGTTTTCATTAACAAAAAATATTGTAAAATATTTGTCACAAACTATTTTGTATTTGCTTTTTTATATTTTCATTCTTTAGTCAACTAAAATATAAAAAAAATTTAATAAAATAACCTGTTACCTAATTAAAAAAAAAAGCCTTTTAAAAATATTAAGACATTTTTTGAGCTGGGTATGGCAGGGAAAGGGAGGGGGAATGGGACCAGCCATGGGCCTGTCATTAAAAATAAAATTATTTGACATGAATTTCAAAAGAAGTTTTTTGCATTAGCTTTACAATATTCACATTATACAATACATACTCAGATTTATCCACAGGCTTTCCTCTTTTAAAGTAGTTCTTCAAATTGTCATACTTTCGACACTCCATATAATTGTTAAAATGTTCATCTTCTTTAATAGATAGCTAATATATATATATATATATATATATATATATATATATATATATATATATATATATATAAATATATATATATATATATTTAATATATATATAATATATACATATTTAATATATATATATAATATATATATATTTATATATAAATTATATATATATAAATTATATATATATATATATATATATATATATATATATATATATATATATATATATATATATATATATATATATATATATATATATATATATATTAACAACATTAAATAGGTAATAATAGCAATTACTTACTCCATGGTACTCAAGTTCCAACGCAGTGTTATTTAAAATGAAGCTAGGATAGCCAATATTTTCTATTATTCTTTCAGCCTACAGGGTGAGAATACATTTATATAAATCAATATTAAAATCAAATAAAACTTGAGATACATATTGAAAAAATATTTATGTGAACATATTATTTCAAATTGTAAACTTATATGAATTTCAATAAATGTATATAAATTTTTTTTTTCTTTCTCAAAATAACAAAAATATAAAATTATTTTAATCAAGCACTAATTTAAAATAAAACTAAAAACTATAAGTTTAAAAAAATATGAAAGAAAAGTAACTTTTAAGGTGTATAAAAGAAATAAAAATGCAGCAGTTTTGTATTTTTGATAAAAACTCAAAAGGTAAAAAAACTAGAATAAACATGATAGAGGCAAAGTATGAGGTAATAGAGGCACGAGGTGAGCATGAGAATGAGATAATAGAGGCAATCTTAGCAGAGGCTGGTTTTTGCAATGGTTTCTAAACATAGTTTCCATAAAAGAGAATGAAAAATAATCTGAGAATATATAAATTAGAGGACTCAGTGAAAGTATTTCTTTTCATTAATATAGGATTATCAACAAGATTGGCTCATTAGCCTCTGTAAGCTCCAAGCTGTCACAGAAGAGAGTCCCATTCAAGATCAGCTGTTCTAAGCAATCAAGAATACTTTTGGTTAGGACTGGAGTTTACATTTGTGTCATAAACAAGCATTTTTATTTAAAAGCAGTAAATAAAAAGCATATAAAAAAAGAAAATAACATGTTTCAAATGCAATGAACTAGAGACGCAAAGAATTTTTAAATGATAAATACCTAGAAGTTAGGGTTTCTTTGTCATCCAGAAGGCAAACCATTGAGGAAAACTCAAATGTAAAATAATGTAACTGAGTGTAAGGGTAAAAGCTTGTGAACACACTCAGATGCTCCTCCTGGTATTAACCTGTTTTGAAAATTAGGACTTTTATTGTAATACTACTATTATAAAGATTGGCGTTTAGGTTTAAGAGCTCCTCTTAGGCTTACGCACAATTAAAATGCTTTATATCGATGAAGTGGCATTTTCCATGGCTAAGAGTCACATGAACACACAATTTTTTTAAAAATGATATTTATATTCATGCTAAAAAACTTTTTTTTAAATATTTTATGAAAGATCTTAACAAATTAATAGAACTTCAAAAGATAAAACTTCATGAAACTTCAGAAATCCTGAAAGCTTGAGATTTTAAATAATGATTGAACCCCCCCTGATATTCAATTCTTATATGTATAATACATTAATAACATATTTATCATATATATACACTAGGGTGTTGACTTTTTTACAACACATATGTCCTATATTATTTTCTAATGAACAATTATGTATAGCAACATAAAATCATATTCATTTACATTAACTTTTCAAAAAGATCACTCACCAATAAAAAACAAAAAAATTTCTAATCATTAAAACAATATTGTATTTTTATTTGCAGTTTGTAATTCATTTTTTTTTTTTTTAATTTTTATATTAGACAAAATAAATTTTAAATTAAGTTTTTCAGAGTTTATACATTGAGGAAAGTCTTAAGCAACTTTTATTACTCTTTCAGCACATATATTACTGTGCTGGATGATTGCAATAATTGATGGTTCTTTAGTCTAATGCAATTTCAAACAAGTATAGCTTTCTAGTAATTGCCAACTTTCTTGATATCTTCTTCAAGATCACTAAAATCATTTTAATTAAAAATATGTTTCCCAAACCATATTTTGTGCTAGTTACCACTAACAAAATTACAAATTACTTCAAGTTGTTCTTTAGATAAGTTAACAAAAAAATAACTTCAAAATGCATAAATTGCTCTTGAATTCCATCTTGCACAGTGAAGAGATGATAATTTAGAAAAATATCCATTTTCTTTATAAAAAAGATATGCTTTGCATAAATTGTAAAGCAATATCATACCATCTATCCATCCTAAAATTTTAAATAAGTTTTTAATAAGGACCACTGTTGTCAAATGTTTCAACAAGATTTTTGTAATTTTCAAGAAAGAATTTAATAAAAGTCAAAAATTTAATAGTGTAAGTCAGGTGAGGTAGTTTTCAGGACATACAGAATCAATGACCAACTTCAAAACTCTGGAATATGATGTTGACATTAAACATACTGTGGATTATCAAATCCAAGGACACTAAATTTTTTTGTAGTCTAGTTACTGTACCATTTTTTTAACTAGTATTAACAGCAGTTGCATCTGTTATAATCATTTTTATACTATTCGATAAATCAAGAGCCAGTAATTTCAACCAATCCATTAAAAATTGTTTCTGCTTTCAAGACATGAACGTTTCCATCTTTCAAGACAAGAACAGCTAATTTTACTTCTTTTGTACAGATTTTCAGGACCACTACTTGGTGTTCATTATAGTTAAAGTATTTTCCATCAAATTTAGTAAATAACCGGGGTTGAAATTTGACCAGGGCCAAATTTGATAAAGTATAGCCGGGGCTGTATAAACAATTATACATCCTAAAGTATATATTTTTTATTCAAAATTTATATTATATTTTGTATAATATAAATTTTGTCATCATCATCATCATCATCATCATCATCATCATCATCATCATCATCATCATCATCATCATCATCATCATCATCATCATCATCATCATCATCATCATCATCATCATCATCATCATCATCATCATCATCATCATCATCATCATCATCATCATCATGCTTTAGCTTTCCTCTTATATATGCATATATACACATCATTATGATCAACATGATCATCATAATCATCATTACCATCATGATCATTGTTATCATGATCATCATCATCATCATCATCATCATCATCATCATCATCATCATCATCATCATCATCATCATCATTATCATCATCATCATGCTTTAGCTTTCCTCTTATATGCTGTTTCTCAAATATAAACAATCTAGAGCATTTTCTTTCTTTAACTAAACTTCATTTATACAATATATAAGGCACTCTCTTCAAGTTTTCTTACTTCTAGCCACTACCATTTTCTCCTAAAGCTTCTACCTCTTTACCAGCTAATACCTAAATCACTTTAATCTGTAACAAACGTTGTCTGATAAGACGTTTTTTTCTAATCTGTCTAAGACTATGCCTCCCTTTCTTGTCTTGCTAGAGTCACACCACACATCCATCTGATCATTTTCTCCTTCGAAAAATACTACACCATATAAACATTAAAGTTTATATAAATATGAAAGGATATTGTATGCCAGCATATAAATAAATAGCAAACATTAATGTTTATGTCCATAATATGTATGCATAAAGCGCATCTTGGACGCTTTTATTCTTTCTAGAATAAAAGCTTAGAAGCTTCTTTCTCTTCAATATTAGGTTTTTCGATCTTTCTATTCTTTCTATTAAATTTCTATTCTTTCTCTTCAATATTAGGTCAAGCCTCATTCTACTTTGCATTTTTTACCATCTTGAGAAGTTGCTTTATCAAACAGTAATCATTCTTTTTTTGATCTTTTTCACAAGAACACCTTTCTTATAAACAAATGTCCTTTTATTATTCCAAGAAGCCATTGTAAAAAAAGTCCTGTCTGATGTTAAGCTCTGTTATTTTAAGTTTACTAAATCTTGTTTTTTATTACTTTTGGTCTTCAACAGTGTCATTAACTAAAGTAAGTCTAACATTTTATCTCTAATTCATGGGTCTGTCTTTTTACTTTTCCCTCGAATATCGGTTTTTTGCAAAAAAAAATCTTCCTCTCATTTAACTCTTGAATCTAATGGCAACACTCTCTTCCTGCCAATTAAACAAATACACTCTTCCTGACAGTTAAACAAATTAGCCCATTGTTAAACATTAAAATCACTATGGCTTCTAATGCTAAAGTTAGTTCTCCATGCTAATGCTAAAGTTAGTTCTCCTTCTAATGCTAAAGTGTTCTCCAGAATTCTCTTCAATTTTTGATAAACTTTTTAAAAGCGCTTAATAAGTGGTGCCAAGTCAAAACTCTAGAAAACATTTTGAACTTTCCAATTGTCCTACAATTAGTCTTCACTCTGTTATAAAGTTATTGAGATTAATAAATTATTTTTTTCTAAATGCAGAATTAAAGTTATTCTTGAAGGCCTACACTCCACTTTATTTCAAGTAACTTTAAAGGTACCACAAAGTTCCATCTTTGTTTCTTTAATGTTTCTTATCTACAATAACAATCTTAATCAAAATTTTACATCTAAAATACCTCTATTAGCTAAGGACTCTATACTCTTGTCTTGACTTTTTGATTGCTTAGAAAAATTTTTAAGGCAACAAAACTCATTTATTTATTGCAAAAAAATATTGCAATAATGTTGACATTCCTATATTGACAAATAACAACCCTCTTACTCTCAGACAAAGTCTAAAAGCACATTGTAAATGTAGTTAAACCTGCTTTATCTGTCAAGCTTGAACCACTCTCCCATTGGTGTAAGGTTACATTTTTTCTTTTTTCTACAAATATTATCATGGTCAATGTTCAAATGAGCTATCATCACTATTACAATAAACCAAAACTCATTCTTACTTGGCTTCTAATTCAACAAGTTGCATCTTTTAACTGTATCTAACCCTTCATGCTATAAAAACTTTTATTAATTCATTTTTTTGTCCTTGCACATCAAAAAAGCCATTTTAACTCTTCCCCATCTTCGTGTTTTTATTGTTAATACATCCTGCAACTTTTAAAGTCTTCAGTTTAGTATGTAATAAATAGTAAATGTAAATTTAAAATTATAATACAAAGAGTATTTTAATTTTTTTCTAGCCCCGGCTATCAACCCCGGCTAAATCTTATAAATTTGCTAGGGCTAGGTTTGCAAAAAGTCTCATTTTTAGCCATAGTCCCGGTCACTTACTAATCAAAATGGAGGCACCAGTTTTCATTTTTTACATTTTTTTTATTTGCGATTTTAAAGTTTTTTGCTTCTCTCATAGTTGCTATAAATATTGATGAATGATTAGGTGTATCTATATCTAATCCAATATCTTTAACTAAAAAATTGCACACCGCTGCAACTTTTCTTGATGATAACTTTGCTGCTGTTAATAATTTCAAAACTGATGAAGTTGTGATACTTCCTATTTCTGGAGTTAGTGTCAGGTAATGGTGTGTCAAAACATTCATCCCCTTTAATCTCAATAACCAGAGTATCAGAATCAGTATTAATATCACTATCTTCTGCATATGAGTTTTCATTTTGTTTCTGATTCTCTTTGATGGATGAATTTTTGTTGGGTCAGTTACTTTATTAGAGCAATAGCCTGCTCTTCCTTGTGTTTCTATCTGCATATTGTAAAAATTTTTGTCTTCACTTGTTAACCACACACCTTTCAAATCAGTAATATCAAACAATCAAACAATTAAATAGAAGAAGTGTTAACTGATTTTTTTGGTTTTCTTAAATATTTAAGAAAACAAAAAATTTTATCATAATCTGTTATGAGATTTTTTACTTTACAATGAACAGATTGCATTGATAAAGTAGGAAATAAATGTTTTTGCTGCAGTTCTCTCAGTTCTAAGCAAATT